AAATTCTCTTCAGAATTCATTTTAAAGCAGTTTTTTAGTTTTTTGGAAAAAAAGAGCCTTTTATTCTGTCGTTACGTACAGATATCACGCAAAAACATCATTAAATTGCATTCGAAAGCGGTCAAAGTGGATATTTTGGTTTAAATAAAAAAATTCTCTTCAGAATTCATTTTAAAGCAGTTTCATAATTTTTTGGGAGGAAAAGAGTGTTTTATTCTGTCCTTACGTACAGATATCACGGAAATACATCGTTAAATTGCATTTGAAAGAGGTCAAATTGGGATATTTTCGTTGATATATGCTGCCTGAAACTTTTCGCGATTACAATACTTCCTTTTTACTTCGTATAAGGAAGTAAAAATAGCTGAAGAATAAAAATTTTCATTTCGAATAATCAGCTGTTGCCAAGAAATGTTTACTCCAAAACATTTGCTTTTTTAATTTTTATTGAAATAATTCTAAATATGTGTAACACATAGTGTAGTATAAATGTTACTAATTCGTTTCCATCAAAAAGTATCAAGATGTTATTAAAAAGTAAGCTTAGATTTAAGAAATTAATCTCTTTATTTTACAATTACATGCAATGTAACTGAAACTACAGTTGTAAACTAAAAATATTATGCATCCTAAGTTAGCATTTTCCAGGACATTAATTTCAACAAAAATAAGGCATGTTTAAAAATAAGAATAACGTATTGTTACAAAACGAAAGGCCGTAGTCTTTTCTCTAGTGAAGCCTAGTCAAGCGTGATCGATTTTATCGATAAATTCGCGGTGACATGTTCGATAATTAGAAAGGCTCCTATATCAATTTTATTTCTGCAGACACTCTGTGAGTAGCAATGTGCTTCAAAGAGAACCATTTGGGTGTTGAACTAGTCTTTATAAGCTTGGCTAGTTTGGCTGGTGGAATGCTTTATAAGGCGTAACGATCGAATAATCTATGGCTTAAGTTCTAGGCTCAGCGAAATCAATTTATTGGTATAATAAAACTTGAGTGCTTCTCCTGTTAATCAAGATGCAGCAGTGTTTTAAAAATAAATGTAAAATTAGGAGATAAATTTTCGTTTTTGGTATGTACGTATTGCAACTTGAAAATTTCCAGGTGTACTATCAATTTCCTGTTGTTGAACTGCCGTATTTTCAACTATGTTGTACTACCAGATAGGAGATTGTAAAATTCTTACAAACTCAGCCATCATCACATTTCTAGCCTTTCCACACTTCTATCAACATTTCATCTTACAATATTCTATCAACATTCTAAGAACTATTCGAAACCTTTCGGGAAACTTCGTTGACGATATATTCTTCGGAGCAAATTTCGTATCATGTTTGTCATCGAAATTTTGCTTCTTTAACATTGTCGCTCGAAATATTTAAATTCGCAAGGTGGAAGATCTATCGAGTAAAAAAAGGTAAAGGTGTTCTTAGGTTTATTTTAGTAAGACAGCTATGGAGAACTGAGCATGCATGGAAATGTTGTCGTGCAAGAACTGAATCTTAGCTATCCAAAGTTACTGTCATTTTACACAAATTCCCTGCAACAACATTTGCTGTGATCTAATTTTCCTTCTTGATATATGGTAATGAATTCATAATAATCAATGCCTTTTGGACAAAAGCTGCCATTATTAGATTTTGAATCCTAGAGGGACATAATGCTATATTTAATCTTTCATAGATTATGGAAACTTCTACATGGACTGTTCACATTTGACCTAAAGATCATGAACATCACACATGACAAGGATCATGAACTTGGAGACGTTACATTTAATTTGCCAGAACGATTTTGGAGGAAAGCATTGGATTTATTACATCAGCGACATTTTATTGTCATCATAGACACTCATCCGTTTGTTTTGTTCGCTTACAGAGAAGGGAAAGAACGGATAAGTAACGCGTGAATTAATTATTAATAGGATGCTGTGAAACGTTTTGGTTCAACATAAAGACGTTTTGGTTTGGTATACAAAGATTAATAGAAAGAAACGATTGCTTTGTTACACAAAAATAGAATCGGGGGGATGATAATTTAAAAAATTCCATATCAATAAATTAAGGAAGAGAACAAGAGTTTAGAACATTTTTTAATCAAAATTTAATTTTATTTCATGCCGTGAAATTGAGATAAGGCGTTTACTTACTTCAAAATTTTCCAGAGATGATACTGAAGATATTTAAGGTGGACGTTACTGGTCTGAAGGATAGAAAAAAAATGGTAATAAGAATACGCTCAAAAAATTTGGCTATCCAAAAATTCCAATATCCCCTTTATTGTATAACTATTGCAGTCATCCCTGTATTGTTTCTGATCTTTATGGTTTGAGGAGATCTTTATTAGGTCATTACCGAGACCATAGTCCAGAGGTAGTAAACGTCTGTTATCGGCCAAGGCATTGACCACCTTGTAAATGACAATTCTACTTTTGCTCAGCTCTGTCCATATTTTGAAGGAAAATTCCATGGGTGACATGTCCGAGGGTCTTATACCTTTTTCCCGTACCAGTAACCTCTCTAAAAGATTTTTCTGATTAATATTGTCTCTATGTCGCAAAGATATTATGCACTCGCAAACAACCATGCCTTCTATGTAATTTGAACTTGTATCCAAGACTATGGCAGCTCTCCTACCATCGTCCCAAAGCAGCTCACCCATCTTTTCAAGAATCAAAACAAATTATGCCAGTCAACCTCTCCAACGTGTCACCCTATATACTCTATATACATTGCATGTAGGACCACTTTTCTCTATTTCAGAGGAACAAAATTGCAAACTATCAGCCGTAATTTTTAAAGGCATGACAAAAGATCTGTACATGCTGTAATATCCAATATGCATGTGATCAGAATAGATACCGATGCATGAGCTCTACAATTAATATCATATTCTTTGAGTATATACCATTGCTTGAGCTGTACCAGAAACTTCTGTATGTTTTCAGGTTGACTACTAGAAATGCTTTGATTAGTCTTTGCCAGTGTGTATCCGTAGTACATAATGAGTTTTCATTAATTCGTTGTTGCAGTGCGAGTGCAATAAATGTTCAAGTCTTTTCAGTTAATACCTAAAATCTCATTCAAAGTATATCTAATTACATTACTGTTACAAGGGCACGGGGCACTGAACATATTTTAAAATGGAGCTGAGTGAAAACAAAATTCAGACTGGGCAGTACACCAAAATGTTTGTGAAATGTTCTTCTAATTTTTAGTCCAAAGGGGCTTTGTGCTCGAAGGACTATTGTTTTTGTTTTGCGATTTTGCGTTGAATCACTCTGAATGTCCGTTTCACTTTTCAAGCTGTTGCCACCAAATACTTTCATCCTGTAATGAAACGGGCACAGCCCTTGGTCCCCCTGATCGACGAAGTCGATCATATGACCATATGAGAGGCTGGTCTTTCCAACCAACAAACGATGGGCCAGCGAGCCAGCCGTGTTCAATCCTTGTTATTCAAAACAGTTAATAAAAAGTTTAAATATTAATCTAAGCCCCGTGAAACCAAGCTCGAGCCCCGGGCAACAAACGGTTAGAACAGCTCGGTTAGCTCGAGCCCCGGGCAACAACGGGTTAGAAAAACGAAAACATAACAAACCAAAAAATACAAGAGTAATGGCTGCAAATTTAAAATCCAAACTATACATTCATTTCAAAAAGCCAAGTAAAATAATAAATTCACAATGTTAAATAAATGTAACAACACATAACCTTGCATACCACATAAAAAACAAACAAACACAAACCACAGACACAATAAACCCAAAACCCCAACATAAAAAGTAAAATCAAGAAGAACAAGTCCAAAAAGGCGAAGGGCAAAAGCCAAAAACCACACATAAAGCTCTAACTCTAAGGGTCTAAAAGCCCAAGTGACCCCAACATCTCAGCTACTACCAATTAAGAAAAAAAATCCATCCAGCAGAAGGATCATTATCGATTTAACCACTGGGACCCTAGTTCCCAGTGGTTCTATATTCAACAATTATATCAAATTTTACTATCTTTTAAATATATATAAATAATTTAAAATTAAATAGATCCTATATAATTCTTTTAAATATAAAGAATAACTTTTAAAGTTTACTAAAAAAACTGTATTTAATTCTTATGTGAAAAAGATATGAATAAGAGCTGAAATTCACTTTTAAGATGTGCTCGATGTGCTATCAAAATTAAATCTACAAATGTTAAACTATTATTAAATTTAACCACGCTACAATTAATTATAATTATGTCTTTAAAATGTGGAGTTACAATAAAAACGACATACACAAGATTTGCATTATAAAATTATACAACAATAAGGACAAACATATAAAATTACATAAACTGGGCCGCAAGCTTCATGATAAAATACAAAGGTAAAAATAAAAACTGTCCATCTCTGGAATTATCCCTCAATTCCTATATTTGTTTTATTTCTATTAATTATGCTCATTAACTCTTTTGCAAAATTAACTTTCATCCTGTATTATATTTGAAGAAATTAACTAATGAAGAAGATACATAAATGTATGTATGTTTCTTGCATTGTGATAAAACCAACGGTACCTAGAGCCATCAAATTTTGAATGGCGTAATCCTACTTCGAATATGAGCATCTAGAAGACCAAATTTCTTTATTATCGGTTTCACATTTAGTAAAACTTTAACGAACTTCTGATTAACAAACTCAACGATTTAAAAGCGAGTAATGGCAACACTCTACGGGAGAGAAAAAAACCTTTTTATCCCCAGCTAGCGGAACTGCGTATGGGAAATTCTAAAGATATGCTCATTTTAAAATTATTTTTCGGCATTGCTGTTGAACTGAATTTTATGGTTTAAGTGCAAAGACCATGATAATAAATAAATAAAGGTAACACACAAAACATTAAAAAACGCCCCTTTGGACGTAATTTAAAATCTGAAACCTTTAAAATTTGTAAGCGATTTGAATTATATACCTGAGCACGCATTCTAATATGATATCTTTTTTCTATTCCAGGGACTGCTCTTCTTCTTGAGGATTCCTTCTAACAATGAGGAAGAAAGAAGATTCAGAGAGCGAATCGCTGCTCATTAGTAAAGATGGGACCACTGGCGGCTCCTACACTGAGGAAGGGGGCCCAGGAGACGGCCCTTCTGTTGATCTTAGGGAGATGGATTATGTCGATGCAGACGTATCAGTGCTGTCGCAGTTCCACGAAGATGCCTTAGCCCAGGCGAGTTGATTTTAACCTCAATCTCCGTAATACTTTTACATTATTCCTGGTACGTAGCTATTCTGCTATGTTTAGCTCTCCAGCCTATATCTAAAACAAAGTGTTCAGAAAAGCGGTTAGAGGTTGTTAATCTTGAAATTTTGATTTAAGGTATATATTTCCAGTTGCAGAAATTAATAAATTAATATCAGAATTTTAAGAAAAAACGGGCTCAATACTGCAGGTGGCGAAAGTTATCAGGTCTGAAGTCCTTCACTTCCGTAAACTGTAATCAAAGTTTTGATAGACATGCAGCGACTTATCGCTAAGTCTAAAAGTAAGTGCATAAACTTGAGAAAAATGTAAAAGGCCCTTTTATTGTAAACTCAAATAGATTAACAGAAAGCCACCATGTGGTCCGGTGCTTGCTAGTGTTCAAACTGACCCTCTTTCCAATAGCATGGTGCTTACATATCCGCCAGCATTTATGGCGAGAACTCAAAGTAGAAATTTAAATGCAAAGCTAACTTCAAATAACTAATAACCAAAGGCTACACAGGGTAATTTATCGCGAAGTCGGCTCGTAATTAACCGGCATGAATTTAACTTTTGGCTAGTAGTAATGCAACGCCGAAAACAGTAACTCTTGTCTAGATTAACAAAACTAGTAACGTTACCTTCAAGAGCCAGTACACTCTGTGTCTTAACAATCTCAAACCCTCATTTAAATAAACATAAGCTTATTTTCATTCTGTCGGGGGTAAATGGAAAGAGTAGTGAAAGTAAAAATTTTTAAAAAAATCTGGTTATTTAAATTAAATAAACCTTGCAAAATCTTAACTATGTTCTCTGTAGAGGAAAATATCCAATTATTAAACTATTCGTTTTACTTAAAACATTAAAAAAAATGTTCTATTTGCTTAAAGATTATCTAAGGTGCTCAAGAAAAATTCGCTGATTGAGTCATTTTTCATTGTTGGCATCATGACTTTTGAAAAGAAATTTAAAGAACTCACAGAAGCAGAGACTTACCTACTTACTGATCGCTTTTGTTATTAACATTTCTCCTTGGGTAGAACAGTATTAAATCATAACTCTGTGGTTTTGATAAAAGTTTTATGTCATCGCATTTTATGCTTAAAGGTATGTAATGTTTTATTTTTAACTAATTAAACTATCTTACTATTTGAAACTTTGGTGCTACTTTGGTAGACGGTTGCACGGATTTTTGGCGATTTACATATTGTTGGCGCGATTTTTACAATCGTCAGCCATCTTGAAAAACGCTGTTTTTACGCATAGTAAAGTATTCGAAAGTTAAAAAAAATAAATATCGTTAAAAGTAATGGATTAATTTTCTGTTGAAAATGTCGTTTTTTTTTAAGATGGCAGGCAAGTGTAAATAAATACATTTACTCTGAGTATAAACTAAAGTAAGGCCTATTTATTACTTTCATATAGCAAAAAAGAGAATAAAAACATTGAGTGCTACTTTGGTAGACGGTTGCACGGATTTTTGGCGATTTACATTGGCGCAATTGTTGGCGCGGTTTTTACAGTCGTCAGCCATCTTTAAAAATGTTGTTTTTACGTATTTCACGTATAGTAAGTATTCGAAACTTTAAAAAAATAAATATCGCTAAAAATAATGGATTAATTTTTTGTTGAAAACGTTGTTTTCATTAAGATGGCTGACAAATGTAAATAAATACATTTACTAAAGAGTTAAAATGCTAAAAGTAAGGTTTAAATTATTACTTTCATATAATAGAATAAAAAACATTGCGCCAACATTTAATTGGAATAAATATACTTTAAATTGAATATTGAATTGAAAACATCATACCAACGTTTAAAGAATTAAAATTTTTCAATTACTTAAATTCAAATCCTTTAAAATAAGTTTTATTGGGATATAATTATTTAACATTAAAACATGTGGCAATAAATATCTCAGGAAATTTTAAAAAATATGTATTAAATTTTTAATAAAAATTGAAAGTATAACGATAATAATGTAAAAGAAAAATATATACTTATATTTTTTTAAGCATTTTACTGTACGCATATTGATAAGCACCAGGAAAAAAAAATCTTCGTCTGTTATCCACATTTCTCGCACTTCATTGAAGAAGCAATTAGCGAGGTTTCCTTCAAATATTTTAAATAAATTTCCTCTGACCCTTGTAACAATAAATAAATCTTTGATTAGGAAATCCAGGTTGGCCAAAATAAGGTCTCAAACGGCAAATGTTTTATGCCGATACCAATAATTCTTGGTAATTACCACTAACAACATTCATCTTTGAAACGGAGACATCCATTCGCTTTGAAATCTGAGGAATCGAAGAGATGAATAATAAAATTTTAAAAATGCGCGGTAATAATCACAAATATTTCAGTAACCAATCAGGGAGCTGATTTAATAACGCCTAGAATTAAAATTATTTAAATAATCATCATAATAAAATCATTTTAAAACAAATGCAAAAATTAAATTGTATTTTACTATTTAACACCATAAATAATGTTTAAAACATTAGACTAAATTTATAGATATTAATAAACCAATTACTTTTTAAGTAAGGTGACGTCATTGATTACATCATCCACAACATAAATTCTATAAAATATTATAAAACAAAAAATTTTTATTTCAAATAAAAATGTAAAATTAAATTGATTTTTAATATTTAAAAGCCATAAATAAATATTTTAAAACACGGAAGTTTATGCATAATAAAACGCATTATATTTTAATAAATGACAACAAAGTATCGGTTACCATAAATAACTTATCCAGCAATGGGTTTACCATAAGTTGTATTACTCGCCAAAAGGCAAATCGCCAAAAAGTCGCCAAAATCCTTGCAACCGTCTACCAAAGTAGCACCGAAACTTTTACTTTGACTGTATGAAAGAGCTTGGCTTTATCTAGTAGAAACTTCACAATCCATAACAAGACTGTTTGCTCAGAGTTCTACTAGTTAGCTTTAAAAAAAGTTAGATTTAGACGAACATGCCTAGAATATATGTTTAAGGAGGTAAATCCCGTGGCTGACCTTTCTTAGCACCTTGTAAAGTTCAATTCTTAAAACTTTAAATTGTCATTTGAATCAAAATTTCTTACATTTTTGTTTATAACTTTTTAACAGGATGATAAGCTCGAAGGAAAATAGGATTCATTATCGATTTACTGTGTACTTTAATCTTAGAATAGCAAAGGACCCCCTCAGTTGTCGAGTTGATTTTGCAAGTAAAGGCTAGCTGCTGCCAGGTTTGGTGGTTTAATGTACCTCCATAAAGACAAGCTATTTTCCTTCTGCAGTTCATTCCGAAGAAAGATATTTCATTTGTGCTTTCCGTTACGTAATTACCAGTCATTTAAAAAAAGGGATTCACTGAAGCCATATATGAACAGGTTTATTTATTATCATACTTAATTTACATACACATATACATCCCAACCAGGATAACGGTAAGTGACTCTGACTGTCATATCTAAGGGCCCGGGTTTGAATGTCTGTAAAAGCATGGATGTTTGTAAATGGGTAAGGTCTGTGCGACATGTGGGCACTCAAAATATGCAGCTAGCCAAAAGTCTTCTCGAGAGGTTAGTGGTAGGAGGAGAGGGATTGGAGACCCTCGAACCCGTCGCCTAGAGATTGCTCTTCTTCAACATTGGGGGCGAAACTGAAAAAAGTCGTATTGTAACCTGTATGGTGCCAACGACAAGCGCATTATTGCCTCCTTACCACAATGATATTCGTGGTCTGATATAGGACAAGCGAAATTCCTCACAACAACAACTCTAAATGAATGCACTGAATATAATATGTTGCGGTCTGTGTCAAGGGAATTACGATACATATAGTCTAGTCTGCACAGAAATCCTTTTAGAGAATGTTATATTTACTTACTATTAGTAAATCTTACTTACTATTAGTAGATTTCTATTTACTTACTGTTAGATTTACTTACTGCTACTTAAATACTATTTCCGACATTACTTAGATTTGCATATACATTATTTATATTTGCATTCCGGCAGGAAATTGAAATGAGAAGGGAAAGGAATGTTTCTTAACTCTTTCGCATCGAAGCCGCCCGTAACGCCCGTTCATTCAGGCAACGGCAAACCGCCCCAACGCCTCGTTTATTTTCTACCTAGTTCTTTCCCCTCCATGTTGGTGTATGGCTCATTGGTTTCGCGAGTTGGTAAAAGACATGTCAATCATTCTTTTGAAGCAAATAAAGGAGAAATACGGAAAGGTATTGACGTTCGCAGGTGCAATCCGGATCTAAGGTGAAACTGCACACAATGGATGAAACCGCAGGGGGAAGAAAAACTATTCCAAGACAAATTCGTAAACATGGGCGTTTTCGATGTTTGTTGAAAATAGATTTGGTCGTCTCTCGATGCGAAAGAGTTAAAATAAAAATTAGTGTTTAGAACAAAATAAAGTCTTTACAATACAATAAATAGCAAAGTGACAAATTAAATAAAAGGCCTATTAAATTTACTGTGTTAAATCGATACAAATGCCTTTTTAAACTAACTATTTGTGTTAGATTACCGCGACTAGTTGTTAAAGTTTAAATATTATTAAATTAAAATTCGTCTTGGAATACCGATGTGTTCATCAAAAATAAAAAAAAATTGTTTCCTTTAAAGGTGCTACTTTGGTAGACGGTTGCACGGATTTTTGGCGATTTACGTTGGCACAATCGTTGGCGCGTTTTTTACAATCGTCAGCCATCTTGAAAAATGCTGTTTTTACGCATAGTAAAGTATTCGAATAGTAAAGTATTTAAAAAAAAAAATAAATATCGTTAAAAGTAATCGATTAGTTTTTTGTTGAAAATGTCGTTTTTTAAGATGGCAGGCAAGTGTAAATAAATACATTTACTATGAGTATAAAATACTAAAGTAAGGTCTTTCATATAGCAAAGAAGAGAATAAAAAAAAAAAAAAAAAAACATGTGCCAACGTTTAATTAGATTAATATTATGAATTGAATATCGAAGTAAAACCGCATACCAAATTTAAAGATTAGAATATTAGTAATTCAATACTTGAAAATGGTTAATGAATATAATAAACATAAACATATGTACCATAATTATCTCACATTTTTTAACAATGAAGTATATAATTATAGAATAAAAGAAATATGTACTTACATTTTTTTGAAACCTGTTGTTATTGATCGTGCCACAAAAAAATCGAATCTACTTGAACGCTCTTTTACAGCTTCATCTGGATCTACATTTCGGGCACTTCATTGAAGAAGCATTAGCGAGGTTTCCTCCAAAATTAAAATAAATTTCCTCGGAATTCTTGGTAATTTCCAAAACACATCATTTTGAAACTAATCCCATTCCATTTGAACTGAGGATTGGAAAGTAATTAAAAATTTAAAATGGCGTGGTAATGCACAAATATTCAGTACCAATCTGGAGCTGTGCATCACGCATAATAAATTATTTAATAATCGTCATACTAACATTTTTAAACAACCAAAATTAAATTGGATTTTAATTTAACACCAAATAATGTTAAACTTAGTTAAATTTATGATATTATAAAACCATTACTTTTTAAGTAGGTGACGTCTTATACATATCACAACATAAATTAATAAAATATTATAACACAAAGTCGTTATTTCAAATAAAATGCAAATTATTATTTTTAATATTTGAAGCCAAAATATATTTAAATACGGAATTTAGCATAATAACGCTTATTTTTTTAATAAAATACAACAAGTTCGTTACCATAAAATACTTATCCAGCAGTGGGGTTTACCATAAGTTGTATTACTCGCCAAGAAAAATCGCCAAAAAATCGCCAAAATCCGTGCAACCGTCTACCAAAGTAGCACCTCTTTAAAATATTTTATCTAAAATTTAAGTAAACTTTTCTAAATAATAATTAAACAGTGTGTAGCGTTTCCCTTAGTTCACTAACCAGTTATTTAAATTTTAGTATCTTTTCTGAATTCGCTATTTCCCTTCGCATTTCCCCGCCAGGATGCAAATTAAGCGAGTGAAAAAGAATAAACTGGTGAAATGAATAGTTTAGACAGAGCGCGAATTCGCTAGTATAGTATAGTGTACGTTCGCTACTATTATCCTCCAGCTGTTAACTTAGTAGTGACTACGCATTATAGCTATTTGGTTAGTTTATCGCCGGTGTAGGTTGCTGAGTCAGCTTTAGGTTAAATTAAATTGCGAAATCTAACAATACTTCTTATCTTTTGAACTTATTGTTAAATTACGTTCTCACCGCAAGTAGTCGATGTATGTGTGAGCAGGAAGTCTGTGCCTTTCTGTTAAAGAGTTGTGATAAATAAAAGGCCTATTAACACCCTTCCTCTGCCGTATTTTTTTTCACGCCTGTGCGAGAAGTCGCCAATCGCATTCAGAGATCTAGACATATTGTAAAGGATAGCAAAAAAGGTTGGATCTTATAAATGTACTTTAAATTACATTATTGACTCATAATACCGTGATATTACTAAATTCATCACAAAAATTCCTTTTAATATACTGTAAGCAAAGGATGCAGCCAGCATTATTAATAATCCAAATTTTATTTTTTACAACAGAACTTTGTTGTTTTTAAATGAAAAATAGCGCCCCCTGTTAAATTTATCCATTAATTCTTAAATCAAAATTTTAATATTTTAAAAATAAAAATCGTATAATTTTATTCGTTTATATTATTACAATATTACCGAAAATAAACACAAAGCTGTTTTTCTAATACTGAATTGAAGATTCATGACGGCTTTCACAATTACCTTCACTTTTGCATGACATTTAACTCTTTGAATTATCGGTAAGAAAAACATATTCCATTCTTTTTGTAGTGCAAACTATACAAGCCTAATAACAAACTGTTTTGCTACTTAAAATTTTCGCTACAGTTTTCTCCTGATTATTGCGTTAACTGCATTAACATATGATTCAATCTGACATTTTTATTAAATTCCATCTGTTTGTCTTATTACTCTGTTACTTACTTCTGCTCCCATTAATTTTCTTTCTTTCTTTTTCAGGCAGGTTTCGGCCTTTTCCAGTACTTCCTCTTCATTGTTTTGGGACTAGGATTAGCTGCTGATGCGATAGAAATCTTCGTAGTTGCCTATGTGTTGCCAAGTGCTGAAAGGGAACTTTGCATGGATGACTACAGAAAAGGATGGCTGGGTCAGTATTTCAATCACTTAAACTAAACTGAACTTGGCGGCACAAACAGCTCTGATATCAGCTTTCTAAACTGCGGTCTCCGGGGTGCCTGTGCACCTTTGCCTGTACAAGTGGTCAATTGTCACAAGCCCCTCCCCCGGTATTTGGGGCCCAAGCGAACTCGGTACTCATATAATCGACCCCTTTAAGGGATGAAAGGCTGAATCAATCTTGCTCAGCCCCTTGTGGTGCTGCTGCTCGACGCGCTAGCTACTGCGCCACCGAGCCTCCATTTCAGTCATTTATGCATCTTTAATTCTCATATTCCACGGCTGTGCTAGTTATACATTAATATGACAGTGTTCAATTTAACTTAAAAATAATGATGTTCTAAATATTTGAATCCTTTTCTGATTGCATTTTTGTTTCCTATATTGTCGACATGTTTTTATATTGTTTCATTTATTTATTTTATCGTTTTGAAGTTGATAAATTTTGGTTTAGTGTTTAATTTAATTTAAGGCAACATGTTGTGTATTTAAGTGTTTAGTCGTTACACAGAATTAAATATATATACCGGGTGGCCATAATTAAACTGACAGTGCTCACAGTGTTCTATAGCGCGATCTATTTGCGAGAATGACGCCACATTTTGTAGGAAGATTAAACAAGACGGAGGACGAAGGATTCCGCAAAAAAACAAATTAGTTCTAAAAGTCACCGCTAGGGGAATATTTGGCGCTGTGTAATAGAAAATAGAGTGTTAACAAATGCAAATCAATACGGAAATTACCTTTTATTTTGCATTCAAATGAGGTTCAATGTGGCTGCCGTTGTTGTGGACTACATATTGCATTCTGTGCACAGTATGCACAATAGCAGAAAGTACTAACATGTCTGCAGGAATCTCCCGTACAATCCGTGATATGTTATCCTTCAACGTAGTTAGGTCATGGACCACTCCTTGATAGACCTTGGACTTAAGGTAACCCCATAGCCAGAAGTCGCAGGGGGTAACATCAGGCGACCGAGGTGGCCATGCAGTTGGAAACTAAATCAGAAAATGTGCATAAACTATATCAGAAAATGTGCATACTAAAAGGTAATTTTATTCCGTATTAATTTACATTTGTTAACACTCTATTTACGATGTAATAGAAAATATTCCCCTAGCGGTGACTTTTGGAACTAATTTGTTTTTTCACGGAATCCTTCATCCCCCGACTTGTTTAGTCTTCCTACAAAATGTGGCGTCATTCTCGCATTGTTTTTTCACGGAATCCTTCATCCCCCGACTTGTTTAGTCTTCCTACAAAATGTGGCGTCATTCTCGCAATTAGATCGCGCTACAGAACACTGTGAGCACTGTCAGTTTAATTATGGCCCCCGGTTATATATGTATATATTTGAATTTAACAAATATTCTCTATTCGTAAAAAGCAAATTTAAAGTTAATTAAATTTTAAATGAATAAGTGATTAATAATTACAAATAAGTGATTAATTATCCCTGCGAACTAATCTACAATATCATTTAAATTTTGAGAGCATATATAAATCAAATGCAAGTATCAAAATCTATGAATAAATATATAATTCCAATAAATTTTTCAATCCTAAAAATGTATAAAAATGCATGAGTGAATAATTGTTGAGCAGGCAGGAGACAGACTTATCAAGGGGAAGTTGCCTCCAAACCTAACTCTTCAATCATTCAATTCGTGTTTCGTCATCCGTGTAGGCAAGGGTAAAAGGAAAATTCAAAACCAAATGTCGTGAACCACCAAAAAGAAATTTAAATAAGTGGAATTTAGAGAAATTAGCAAGTAAAGACTAGAATGAAAAATAAAATCAATTAAGAGTAGAAAACCAAATTTTTTAGAAAACCAAATTTTTTAGAAAACCAAAGTAATTTAGAAACTCTTGCTTACAAAAAACTTACCCGACTCAAATTATGCAAATAAATCAAAAAGAAGCTAGATACTATTTTAAAAAAATACATAAATAATACTAAAAAAGCAAGTAAATAGTAAGTCTTAATTTAACTTAACCAACTATATTTGTATTTGGAGAGTGGAGCATCATGCCAAACTAAGTGATGTTAAGTAGTGTGTTTCTTCTAACTTTATAAATAGAGGGCGCTAATATAAGGTAAATTTGAGTGTTAAGCTGCTATCTGTTAGATCTGTTTTAAAAACCTATTCTGTAAACTTTTAAGTAATGTAAAATGTGTGTACTGTTGCAAAACGTTTTTTGCTAACTGTGAAGTATTGTAAAAATGTGTATAAAATTTTTTAAATGCTAACTGTAACGTAATGGAAAATTATTAAGGATTGTAAAACATTAAGAATCGTAAAAATCAAAATGTTTTTGAAAAAAGTACGAAAAAAAAATTTTTGAAGAAAATTAATTTAATTTTGAAAAAAAAAATTTAATGGTTTTAATTAAAGTAAGAAATTTATTGTAATAGTCTTAATTAATTGAAACTGAATTTCAACAGGTTTAATCAAAACTTACTAAATACTGGCCAAAAACTAAGGAAACTTAGAATAAAATAAAATCTTCACTCAATTCGGGTTATAATTTAGACTTTATATATATGTAATAATAAAACTCCATAGTCAAGAATACACTTAAAATTCTAACTGTATGTTCTTTTCATTTTTAATGGCTACGTTCTCTTATTTGAAAGTACGTGGAATTAAATCCACAGCCCCGTAGTCAAGTTGTTTTTCCCGCCTTTTGTACACGTACAGTTATAGAATGCTCTGGAAATATTTAAAGCGAACTGGATTGGCTGACGAGGCTGACGTCATTTCTTTGAAGCTCCGCCTTTGCAGAGGCTATAAAAATACTCGCAAAGGACTATCGGGGGCTTTTCTTAAATGTCACGATGCAGTAAACTTTATACAAAAAGTTATTAGTAATTCTTTTTATTTACTCCGGTTATCTGATTTTGTAACTGCTATTTCTCCTGAATAATAATAAATGGATCCTGTTTTTTTTTAAACTTATCGTCTGATAATTTAAGCTACGACTGTTTAATTATGGCCTAAACTAAACTAAAATTGGTACAAATCACATATATATATATATATATATAATAAATATATCATCCTAACTTGAATGTGTATTGGCTCTTTCAGTCTCCTTTTTAATTTGATTAATTCCCTTTTCTATCCTAAAAATAGTAATATGCTTATAATAAATCTCGGTACAGAAGTTGACAACTCTGAATTAACTGCAATTAATTCTTCAATATGATGTATGACACTACTTTTTCTATCCTAAAAATAGTAATATGCTTATAATAAATCTCGGTACAGAAGTTGACAATTCTGAATTAACTGCAATTAATTCTTCAATATGATCTATGACACTGCTTATATTCCGTAAATAACAACTGCATTAATCTAAAGTATATTTTTTTTCTTTTCAGCTGCTATCTCCTTCTTTGGTATGATGATCGGTGGCTTGGTATGGGGAACGTTAGGAGACAAACTCGGACGTAGAAGGACGCTAGTATCTGCATTAACAACCAACGCCTTTTTCGCTGTGGCTACCGCATTTATGCCCTCATATGGACTTTTTATGATGACAAGGCTCTGCAGTGGAATAGGGTAAATAGTTCTTTCGTGTCCTTACTCACTCAGAAAATGATTCTTTTCTTAACTGTAGACTGTCACGCAGATTTCTTTCCATGAAGTCTTTAATTTGCAATAAAACATTTTGCGAAATTCAAAGCGACATCTTGTATCTGTTTATTTCATCATTAAAAATATGATAAAAAGATATTGAAACATAAATTCTTGTGCTTAAAATACTTACTGTTTGATTGCTTTTACTGTTTGATATCAGCTAAACACGCTAAATAGGTCATTCTTGCCATTTAAAATTGACTATCTCATCAAAATGGCTTCATATTATTTTTAAGAACCATGGTTTCATATTATTTTTAGGAAAAGTTTATTCATACGTGAGTTTAGTATATAAACTAAAGTGATTGAAACTAAATTCTGCCTTATAATTAAAACATTTAATTTTTTATGGGGCAGATGTGTAAAATAAATACTAAGTGCAAGATTCCAGTTTCTGTCGCAGTGAAGTTTGCTGAAGCCTTATAAGTATTGCAAAACATGAAGCATACATAGTATTAAATCTCTCATAATATATATAATATTTATTATAAATATTATATATATATCTATATAAGTCTCATTTAGCTCGAATTGAGTGAAGGTTTTATCTTTTTCTAATTTTCCTTACTTTTCGGCCAGTATTTAGTAAGTTTTGGTTAAACCTGTTGAAATTCAGTTTCAGTTAATTAAGACTATTACAATAAATTTCTTACTTTATTTAAAACCATTAATTTTTTTTTCAAAATTAAATTAATTTTCTTCAAAAATTTTTTTTGTACTTTTTTCAAAAACATTTTTGATTTTTTACAATTCTTAATGTTTTACAATCCTTAATAATTTTTCACATTACGTTACAGTTAGCACTTAAAAAATTTTATACACATTTTTACATGAAAATCTGTAAATGTTTTGATTCTGTTTGTAAAATAAATCGTATCGGTTTTTTTCAATTTCGTAAAACTAAATATTTTATTACTTACATCGATTTTTTTTAATAGCGAAGGATCTACAAGAACTTTAGTACAGGCATTTACAGAATTTTAAGATTATCAGTAAGTTTTATTTTTGATTCAAACGATACCGTACATTAAGGAGGACTAGTGGCACCTTACAAATATGCAGCAGTATTAATCACTGAATAAATGGTTGCAAAACGAAAACATCAAAGAATCATTCTGCAGCTCCACAGCTATTATGTTAAAGGTATTGGTTAAGGGTTGCTATTTTAGTACAGGCATAGCTAAGGTTGTTCCTGGAAGCAACAGTATCTTTTTCGAGTGTTCAAGAGTGTGTACGAGCCGGTTTCCCTTAGAAAGTCCTCCACGAAGGCATCCCTCCCTTTAGGCAGGTAGCCCTTGTGTGCTTTGCCATAATTAAATAATCCAAATCGAGTGTTCGAGAACTCGTAGAATGAAACTTCCCAAATGTAAAACTTTTTGGTGATAACTTTTAACGCTGTCAGTGACCTAACGCTTGACCTCCTTTTTGCAGTCATAAGTCTTTCCACCCCCTCTGGTTTGTATTATTTTATTGGCTTCCTTATTTTCTTTTATGACCTAAATATTATCTTAATGAATGCAAGTTTATGGAAAGAGAGCGTAAATAATTAATTATACAAACTCAACAAAAGAATGTTATTGAAGTACAGTTCTTTATAAACAGATTCAAAATGCTGTGCCACTTATAAGGTTTTAATAAAGTTTTTTAAGTTATTAATACTAACAAATGAATAATTTCTGTTTTTAGTATTTAAGAGTCTTTGTAAACTAAGGGAAATGTCCATATTAGAATATAATTAATGTTCTACAATTAAAGCAATCGTTACATAAATAACTTTGTTTCTTAACTCCTCTTCCATTTCAACATAACTAGTTTTCCGAAGAGTAAATCCATTTTAAAATAGTTTTTGAAGCAAAATATTGCAGTGCATTGCATATAAGTCTTATGAAGCGATTTCATATAAACCATTTTCAACATTTTTTATACAAATGCAGTCCTTTCTAGGTTGCTATTCTAGTGTATAATTGTAAAATATTCCCATACTTGATCAACAGAACCATCAGCCACTCAATTTTGTCAAATTTTACTTTAGGAATTACAACATCTGTCGTAAACGTAATGAGGCTGATTTCATAAAATGGATTTAGTGCTAGATATTCTTAGATACATCTAAATCTTCTATAATTAACATCATGAAATATGAATAATGTCATTTTCAGGAGTTCTAAGACACGTCGTAGCTCGCCTGAAAATCTTGAAAAAGGGTCTCTTTCACAGTAGCTTGCATCTGTTTAAATGTCCCAAAGCAGTGTTCTTTCAAACTTTATGTCAGCCAGAGAAACAAAAGGATTCCGCCGGAGTTAATCTAAGTTTTAGGGAGTTTTGGGCAGGGTAACCACGTTTTGATTGCCAAAACCTTTTACTCGTGTAGCAATATGGGGTGGAGCGCTATTCTGCATAAAAGTCATACCTTCCAATAAGTGTTCATCAGCCTATATTAGCCTATATTAGAGATGATGCGATTCTGTAACATATCAGCGTACTGGACGCATGCAATGTATTGTCGTAATGATGAAATCAATGTCTTAGCGATCTTCGAATATATATGCGCGACCGTTTGCAAGTAAACTGCAGCATGGACCGTTTGTCCGAGCAGGTATGAACTCTTCATAAACAACAACCTTAGAGCCAAAAAGGACAATAAGCTTGGTTTCATTTTCGATTTGTTCATTCGAGCCTTCGTAAATCGATGAGATTTTGTCGTGTGCCACTCACCTGCTATCATTTTAAAATTCATTTGTCAGTCAAAATCCAAGCCTCCTTTCATTTTGTCCGCACTGTCTGAAGTGTGAGTTGTTGATTTATGTATATTATTTCTTCTCGATGCTCTTGTTTCTTTCTTTAAGCGTTTTGTACAACCAAAAGGTCTTGTAATTTTGATAGAACATTCTTGTCTTACGCTTACTATACTATAGGACGTTTTCCAGATGCTGAGGTTTAATGTTTAAAGGTTTTCCATAGCTCTTCTCTAGATACTTCTGCAGATTAACTGTTATTCAAAGCTCAAACAACTTTCACTTTGAGAGTGATCTGCGCTTTGTGAAAGCTCAGAGCTATCTGCCGAGAAATTCACCGTTTACCTAATATCCTCTAGAAAGTATCACACCCAGAGTCTTGACCAGCTTGCCTTTCTGATTGGCCGAAGAAAATCAGTCTCATAATTTTTTGGATAAGCCGTATAAGCTGATTGGGAATAAACAAGGATCACTAAGTAATAAAAAATTCTTAAGCACAAACATGTATTATAGTTATCAAACAGAAAATCAAACTTCGGTACTAAAATTGAGGTATTTAAGTAAATATTTTAACTGTCGCCGAATATGATGCATGATAGATTATTTGCAGCATTTAATGATGTGAAAATTGTTATTTATTTTATATTTTCCTTTGAATGAATTTCAATATAATAATCTAAAAATAATCCGCAATAACTGATTACTTTTAAGTCATTATATTGAAATCTACGTTTACTGTGTAGGACATTTATATTTATTATTTCTAACTTTAGTTAATATATTTCAAAACCGTGTACTGCATGCATTCATGCTGTTCATTTTCTAATTTCCGTCAGTGTATATCAAAATATATCGAAATGGGAATGATCTTTTTGACAAACGTTGATACAAAAATGAAAATTAGCTTTAAGTCATACATTCGGCAGCTAAAATGAAAATGATTGGCGTTTATACATTTCTTTCTTCACAATTGAAAAGTAAACAAATCTGACGTCAGATGAAAATTACCTATGCTCTTTCTCTAGACTGAATATTGTTGAACAAATGCTCCTTCATAAAACCTTCTGCTAATCCTAAGAAAGAAAATGCAGAGTTTAAGCGACGAAAACAAAAGTAGAACTGTATAATTATTTACAAAACACGCAATTCGTTGCATATTAAAGACATAAAAATGAAGTCTCTTTGCAAAAAAGCAAACAACTTTCTTTCCCAAGTATTTATGCTGTGTTAAGGCACGTGCCTTTCGTTTAATGCTTTAAGGAAATGGCTCTTTTTTTATGGTTATGTGTATTATTTGTCGCTGTTCTTAAATACAGGTCTCTTTTATATTAGGTATGAGAACCTCCTTAAAGAACCCAACTGAATTCCTTACTTTTATTAGCTATTTAATGTAATCTCAAGCAGTCATTAGGGAAAACGACGCCCTTATACGTCTCCATCGATCCGTATGCCCATGAAACAATTGCCGGGTCTTTCCACACGCATGCAAAGCGAGCTAATTTATGGCAACATAACTTTTCCCTCACTTCACGCGATATTTGTTAAGTTTCCGCTTAACAAATCGATAACGCACAACTTCTGGGAATAGAATGTCTGCCGAGGAAATTAAAACAGGTAGAAGAAAAACATTTTTCGCTAAAAATAAGAGAAATCCCAGTAAGAATTTTCTTTTCCAATCTTCGGATTAATTTCTCCAGGGAGTTTAGCTTGGAAACTACTATTCTTTACGTTGCGTGAGTTACAATAATGTAAGAAAAAAGAAAACAATAGAAAAATTTGTAAACAAAAGATAGTCCTCTCAATGTGACAGAAATAAAAGGTTGTTGCTGTAACTCATTGGGAAGGGGTAGAAATAATATACTTGTTTTTTAATTTAATTTTCAAATTAGCAACAAAAATTCCCTTATCAAATCGCCATCTTTTTGGGGGAAAAAGATTCAAAATCTATCTATGATTGCCATTTTTAAATAGGATGCAGTTAAGATCAAACTCTAAGCTTCAATTCTGCGAGCTTACTTTGTAAGGTTTTAGCTGTGTAGATGTAAAAATTCTATTAGACTGAAACGCGAATTACCGCTCCGCCTGAATTAATATGACAAATTCCTGAAAAGGCTGACAAATGTTTTTATTAATTTTTTTTTATTTAACAGAAGGCATCACCTGTGCGAATAGCCTTCACCACTTATGGATTTTTACAATAATATAAGTTGAAATAGTGATTTTTACAATAATATAAGTTGAAATTCAAATTCAAGTAACGTATTTGGAAACTACATAAAATGGTCTACTTAAGTTAAGTATTTTAAGTGGCGCGTTTTTAACGTCGGCTAGCAATCGGTTAAACTGCAGGCGAGGAAGCCAAAAACTGAAACTCTAAAACATTCAAAACCGTTGATTTAAATAATCAGTCAACTAATTTGCATTCTGTTATAGTCAACTAATTTGCATATTTGTTATAAGGGGCTACCAAACTATTAGTTACAATGCTGTTTTCTCTCTTGTCGGATTTCGACCTCTGGATTTGTTTATTCTGACCTTTATTTATTACAAGAATAGTCTTGCAAACTACTCCAGTTCTCATTTTGATCGTTTATTGCCCTTGTCTGTTCTTCCACATCCTTCTGTAAGACAACCAGTACAGATTCTGGATAGTATGGACACTGATGTAAATTCATTCTCATTTGTGTTGTATACGGATGGTAGTAGGATTGATGATAAAGTTGGTTTTGCTTATGTTATTTTTGAAGATGATATTGAAATTGAGTGTCACCAATTTCGCATTAGAAATGAATGTACTGTGTACATTTCTGAGCTTCTGTGTATTAATTTTGCAATCAAGTGGATAATTAGCCAGGATGGACGTGGTTCCAGCTACTTAATCTGTACGGATTCACTTTCTTCCCTGGAATTCCTTAAAAATACCTCTTTATGTAATGATATTATTGTTAATATCCAGCAGTCTCTCGGAGATCTGGAGAAGAAGGGTATTTCAGTGTTTTTTACATTTGTCCGTGGTCATTCGGGTAATTATGGAAACGAGAGAGCTGATTGGCTTGCTAAGAGTGCAACTAAAAATTATATTAATGTTGATGTAAATATTCCAAAATCTTATTTTAAAAAAACATTAAAAGCTAAAATGATTGAACAGTGGAACTGTGATTACATCTCTTCTGATAAGGGATCTGTTACGAAAACATTCTTCCCAACTATTTTTGAAAGACTGAAAAATAAGGATACCTTATAAATTCTTTAATATAAAATAGTTTAAGCTCTAGATTTTGAAAGGCTTGCTACCGTTCTTCATGGATTATAACTTAACCAAAAATATTAAATTTCACAATAAAAAAAATAACTAAACTTCTTATTGCTGTGTAAGATTCATTTTAATTTCCTAACCCTTTACTTTAATATAAATCACTTTTCTATCAAGCCCCGTTTCGTTTCCCTGCCAGAATATAATTTTCCAGGGCGGGCGATTTTCAAATTAGATAGACGAAGGCAGTATTTAAACGAAGGTTTTGTAGAGTGAAATCAGAGCGTGCGCTGCCTGCTTGAAAGCCACGTTGCTACTTTGATCCTCTAGCGATTAGAATTCTGCGGCGCTGAGTTATTCTTGCCATTAGGCTTGCTTTTGCCGACTTTGATCGCAACTAATTTGTGCACTACTTAAACTGTGAATATGTCAGACTGTACTTCATTAATTTTATGTGTATCCATTATCTTTGATTTTAAGCTAAAAGTTTGGGCTTCTGTAAGCACGAGTTTGTGCCGTCTGTTAAACTTTATTTATATTAATAAAAGAGGCCTTTACATCCTTTCCCTGTCTCTGCGGTATTTAGGGTACTCACTTGCCAAATCTTGGTGGTGACGAATTATCGCCTACCAGCTTTACGTTCAGGGGCCATTGTAGAGTCATTAGGTTATGTCAAAGCAGGATATGTGAAAAATGTGCAATACCTCTGAATATCCGCAATTAGATATCCTGACTTAGAATTGCAGTTGTGAGTAAATTATTGTCAAAATAACTTTCTGTGAATATAAGTTTGACATAGATATATCTATCGCAGGCTTCGGCAGCACTTTATAAGAACATCATGAATATTATTAATTATGCAGATATAAATTAATTATGAATTGCGCAGCAATAACATAAAAGTGATGATTGTAATTATTAATTATAAAATACTCTGCTGCTTATCATCCAAATTCTCCAAATTTATGTGTAAGGTTATATAAGGCTCCTTCCCTTCCTCATGTCTTCGTAATTGGAAGCATACTCGACGCGTATTCGAGAGACCGGGGTTCGGCGAGAGTATTGCATATATGTCTCCAGCATCAAAACGCCTAATGACTCTACAGGTTATAATATACTTTAACGTCTACTGCTTGCCAAACTGTCCGAATTTTTCATGACTTTTACGACCTTATGTGGGAAACCAGTCTTTGACAATTCTGCCAGTTTTTGTAAAGGCAGCAAAAATTGCTCCATTTATCGATTTCTGGTTAAATTTACACTTTAAACGCGTATTTATTTAACAATTTATTAACAGATATTTAAGTTATCGATTGAATTGCTTTTCTTTATTATATTAAAAAATAAGTATTTGGTTGTGTGTCACTAAGTTTGGCAACTTATCAATATTTTAGTAAATTTAACATCTGCAATTTCGTGCCAGTTTGTCTTTCTAGTATGCTAATTTTTTTAAAGATTTTTAAAAAATATTGTTACCATATCATTAACCCTTTGCGGCACAGGGTGTCCGGTCTGGACACATCTAAAAATGTTCTTCTGTACGCACAGAAAAATTGAATAAAAAAGGATTTATAAGTTACTATAGGTTACTCTGAACTTTCTTTATTTATAGTAGATGGCAGGTCAATACAAACCAGTCCATTTAAGACCCTCATTTTTCAAAGAAATCTTCCAGAATTTTTTTAGGGTATACAAGGAATTGTTTGAAAAGAAATTTCTATGTTATTTTTTGGCTGTATGCTAATCTCCTTATTCTATATTAGTTTTAAAGTTTTACATTGAAATCTTGCCTAAAATCAAACGGCGAACCCTAGGTGGGCACAGATCGGGCTCACCGATAATCTAGGACTACTTTGTTTCTCCGCATCTCATCGGTCAGTTCATTGACAACAATACTCGTTTCAGCACTCTTTTCGAAGATCTATTCAATCAGTGTGCCTTCTTTGGGCACACCGACAAAATTTTACTTGGTGAGACTAGTAGGCCTAATTAGGCTGCCTAACTTTTTTTTTTATCAAAACTCCGACTTTAAAAGGTAGCATGCCGGAAAGGGTTAAAATAATGGAAACATAGTTAGATTACACATTTAGAAAAAAGTTTAAAAATCACTTTTTTGGCTTTATCATATTTTAAAATTTGTTTGCCTTTCATTCTGGATGTGAAAGTGATAGTATATTATATAGAGTGCAGTTTTTGAATTATTTCTTAGCAATGGAAACGACGTTATTGTAATTATTAATTCGAAAGGGCTATTAGACTCTAAGTAAAATGTTGCGTTTATTCACTTGAAATGCCGTAGACACCAAATGCGTTATTTCACTTTTCATTCCAGTCTAATCTATTACCTGCCTGCAAAATGTAATAATAAAATAATCTTTAAATTTCAATTTCGCTATTATGGATTAACAAACTAAGCTACATTTAAAAGCAATAGATGCAGTTTTTATTTTATTTTTCTTACCTTTTTATAGGATTCATTTAAATTAAAATGCATTTTATTCACGATATATCCAAGTAAAAATATTAAATATTTTTGTAGTATAGAAAAATATACAATATTTTTGTTATTAAATATTATATTATTTTTCCCTTTTCAAATATACAGATGAAGGTAATGTTACCATGTGAGTCTACATGTATATTAATCTAGTATCCTATAAGATATTTTGCTGTTTTATCTGGGCTATTTCTATTGATTATCTGTACTGGCATTAAATTTTGGAATATTTCCATTTTTTATGATAAATGTTTTCCCCCCGAGTATCAAAATATTCAGATACATACCGCTTTTCTTTGTAAAATTAGTTTTAAGTGTTTTTAGTTTTACTGTTACGAAAATCTTTAAGGAATGTAGTTGTGGTTTTATAAATCATACTTTTGTAACAAATAAAATTTATGAAACCGGCAAATCGCTTAAATCTACTAAACACATTATGAAACGTTAAAATTCTTCCGATATCGAAGACATTGTGATAATATTCCCAACTCTAAAAGAAATATCTTAACGAGATGTTTTTAATTATAAGCCTGAAATGTAAATTCCGATAAATTATATTCTGTATCAACGATTTAATTTTTCATTCCAGTATAGGAGGATCTCTGCCAATTGTCTTCACCTACTATAGCGAATTTCTAATCAAAAGACACAGAGGAAGGCACCTGAGCTGGCTTCTCACCTTTTGGGGAATAGGTGGTGTCTACGCGGCTCTTATGGCATGGCTGATGATCACTGAACCAGGTACAGTAAAACAGATGACTAACAACAATAGCTTCATGCAAATCGATTACTTTCAAATAGCAAAATAATACAGATGGATTTTAAGAAACAAGTAATTATATTGCAATTCACGGGGTCTATGTTAGGTAACCAATAATAGCAAACATATATAATAAAAATAATTTCTCATGCAATGAATTGCTCCTGATCTTATTGATTAATCTAATAACATAATGAAACGGTGTACTGCAGGCGTTCATTCAGAATTTTCGCAACCAAATCCTGAAGATGTATAACGCATTATACAGCGAGAACATTTGGTATTGCTTGTTTCAAATGCGCTAAGAAACTCTTGTGGCGCCTCGATATTGCTGAAGGGCCATCCGTAGCAGCTATCAGCTGCTGCTACCGAATATTTTGTCAAAATATTACTAATACGAAGATGTTTTTCTTTGAAAAATTTCGTCATGGTATTAAATATCGATTTTGACTTTAAATCAATTTCTAAATTTTTAGCTAATAATAACTCTTGACACGCTTTTCTCTCTTTTTTTATGAATAGAACCTATGTTAAGAGTAGTGATTCGTTATTTGATAGAGTTGATTTCGTCCAGTTGAATAGGAAATTTTCGAGTCTTTGAGTAATCGCATAATAATATTTCAGTGTCTTTAGCCATTTCATCTATTCTTTTTTTCACCGAATTATTACCCAGAGGAATTTCTCTGATGATATCTAAATGGTGTCTTATGATGAACAGTTTTAACTGCTACACTCTGACTGCCGGAAGGATTAATTCCTCACCAACTCTGTGTGATTTTTCTGCTTCTGACATTTACAACTTAATTTTATATGAGGCTCTTAATTCATCATTTTCTTGTTTAGAAAACGATATAAAAAGTTTTGATATAGCTGACTGCTTTAAATATTACTTTTCCTGTCCTTGAAAGTAGGATAAATCCTTGTCTGTTTTATTATCGCGCATTTTATTCAAATGATTTTCTAGCCTAGAATGTTTATAGCATCATTTGAAAATATGTTTCGACACATTAAACACATAGGTAATGACTGATTTGTAGAAAAGTGCTTAAATCCATACTTTAATTACTCAACACTGTACTGTTGGTATTTCTTTATTAGATTCAGACATGCTGAAATACAATATTTGCCGCGGTTTATAAATTACTTATAGGAGATTTATAAATAGTTATAAAGTAATGACTATAATGACTTCTATCGCTTTCACTCACGAATATGGATTATTGGCGCAGCACACAAAACTAATAAGCCATTTCTAGAGCTATCTCTGCATTTTATAGATTTGATTTTACTTGCGCATCAACTTGCATGCCTTTTGTTGTTTGTGATGCCAGTGCCCAATTGTTCAGTAACTAAGTCATTACAAGCTCCCGTATTTTTGTCAATACGTATTTGAATGCGTCGAACACATCTTCTCTTATCTATACCAGTATACAAAATAAAGAGAAATTACATGTTAAGTCAAATTTATCAAAAGCTAATGGACAGCGTTTAGTGGAATTTGGTATGAATATACATATATAACGAAGAAAGAATTGTACCATTCAAAAGTCATTTTATGTATGTATGACTATCAGTAAAGCTCGATGCGCAGGGACTTCCAAAATCTAGGTTGTAATATCGGACTGAAAATTAGTCAATATTCGGTATGGTTCCTCTCTCACAACCAGACGGTCACGCCATCTGACGGCATACCAGACTGGGGGCGTTTGAGGAATCTCTGTGGTCATCCATTCCATTTCTGCAGCAAGGCAGTTTTCAACTACAAAATGGTTCTCGGAGGAGTATGTGAGACAAAATTGCCCTCCCAAAAGCGACCCAGACATGTTGTATGTCAAAGGTCAGGAGATGGCCAGTGGCTGACCAGCCACCAGTGGCTGACCAATCCATGCAACCAATATCCTCACTTTTCAGGTAATCGCCTACCAGCTGAGCCCCATGCCGACGAGTGTTGCTGACCATTGCGCCTCTGAAAAGTGGAACATAGGGTTCTACGGTCTCCTCTCTATACCTCATAGCAGTTAAGAAGCCTTTATCAAGGACATGAAGGGTGTGCGGCCATCCAACACAAAGCCTGCTCAAACCATTACACGTCCACCGTTATGATTCTTTTCTATGAGGAGAGAGAGTTGGTATCATATTCTGGGCTCTCTCCAGATACAGGTTGTAACGTTGCGCGCCTCCAACTTGCACGCAACCAAGAGGTGACTGTGAAAACTGGACCAAAGACAGAGTCTTGTTAAGGGTTTAAGTCCCTTTTTATTCAACGTAATAAATTACAATTGCGTGCTGCTCTTGACGCTCACAAACTGCGCCAACTCGGCGGTCAAATAAAAATAATAACCTGAAAAGAAACCAAAGACAAGACTCTAACTACGAGGCTCTCTAAAAGTAACTAACCTCACCGCGTTTTACAATACCGCTGCTAATTCAGCAACTTGAAGATCACGTTGAACGATTAACACTTCCTCCAGGCAAGCACACAGGCCGAAACGCGGGGTTCTTCAATTTCTGGCTAACTACCTCCGCGCTCGTGAAGTAAGAACAGCACACCTTGAACTCGCTTCCTTTCTATTTAACTCAGGATACTTCCGCTGATAATTTGAATCCTTGCGCGTTCTACTAAAATTTACATACTCTGGCATTGGCAGTTCCAGGGGAAAATAAGGCTTGACAGGAAAGATAGTTTAAACTTAAAATAAATGTTAGTTAAAATAAACATAAACCCTACAAGGTAAGCCACGAATCTTTTGTCTTGGCTGGATCTCGACTCATCAGTAAAGCGTACAGTGCTCCACTGAAGTCTGCTCTAATGAGCATGTTGTCTGAATAAACACGCTCTTTCGCGTACTGTAGTGACGGGGAAGCAAACAGTAGGTCTTCTGGCATACAGCTTTATCTCATGAAGCTTTCGGGCAACTATAAATCATGAAAATCGGATTCCAGTGGCATTACACAGCTCACACGTGAATGTAATGCAACTCTAAAAGTCCTGTCCTGCCTTGCTGATTGGGCCAAATAACAATCCTCATTCGTTATTGTGGGTCTTCGTAGACCTTGTTCAGGTCTTCTCGATAAAGATCCAGTGTCCTGAAATTGTTTTCATAAATTGCAGATGATACTAGCCGCTAGATTGACCTCTGTAGCCACTTGCACAAGTGCAGATGGCTACAGACGTCCATTCTACCGACCTGCCTCCTGAGACAGAGATTCATTCGACCTTCCTACCTCCATTCCACCTACGATTCTCCATATCTTCGGAGTTACTCAATTTAATTGATACCTTACAAAATTTACCCATCTCTTGTTAGAAGTACGGTGATTGGTATGAAAGAGTACGGGCACACAAATCGTCTAAACCCCATTGTGCTTACAGATGAAGGACAAAATAATGCGAACACCAGTGAAAACGTATTACGTATTTCACACCTGCAGTACAGCCGCGCCACCTGCAACAGAAGTCTGCCACCTAGTGAGCGTGAAGAAGGTATCAGTCTTTCAACAGCAGTCATCTGCGTTGCATGCTTCGATCGAAGTGCCTGTGAAAAGTTGAAATTTCAGACCTGTCAGGGTTCCAAAGAGGAATGATAGTTGGAGCGCGTTTAAGTGTAGCATCGGTTACGGAAACAGTTAACCTTGAGGAGTGTGCAAGGAATCATAATAGTCATAATACAGGAAAGACCCAATCCTCCTAGTCCCACTGGACCATATGATTATAAAGGGTTCCCCTCAAGATCACAAAAGGAAAGAGAGAAAAAGAAGCATAGATATAATAGAGATTTGAATAGGATACTGTATTTATACTAGAAGTACTGCGTATTATTTTGTTCTAGAAGTACTATATTTATATCGAGAGAATACTATTTTGTGGTTTGAGATAGGCGAAACTAAAATAGCTTAAAATTCGGAGTCTAGGAACACGAATCTTATATCCAAGAAGTAAACAAATCTTCGACAGTTATTATACTTGGGAATGTAATCACACTTTTGACTTTAGGTCAGCGAAATTATTCATGAAGATTTTTCAATTGATGCATTGGATTTCTTTGGAAAACAAAATTTATCGCCTTTCAATAATAACATTAATTCTGATCGAGTCCTTCGTATATAGAATTCTTAATTTTTTGCTATTCATTGCTATTTTTCTCGACAGATAGCGCTATGCTCGTGTTCGCTTTGCTCTGCTAATTTCTTTCAATTTCCTCTTTTGCAGAATTCTTGCTGCTGAAGAAAAGGCACCTGTGTCTGATCGTCCTCGAAATCGATAGAGCTTTGTTCAAAATCTACGCCAAAATAAAGCTTTTTTTTTTTTTTTTTTTCGTTCCAAATATCCAGATAATCTTTAACTTATCTTTCAAATCGTAAATACATATTATTTAATAGCGCAGCAGAATTACTTTCATACATTTTAGTGGCAACAAAACTGTTTAAAAAAAAATCTGTCAGCCGAATAACGGTTTTGTTGTAATTTCTTCCAGCCAAGATTTTCAGATAAAAATTTTAACGACTTTCCAGATAGACAAGATGCCTGGTTCTGAGAAGTTCTCAGATATGATTTAAAATTGGATTCTACCCATTAATATTGTTGCGTTTTTCTTTTCTTCACGTTCGTACGGGGTTCGTAGATTTGGAGTGAATAACGACAACACTTGATGAAGTATCGAAGCACACATTATTTAACCAATATTAATCAGGGCAGCTCCAAAACACTTTTACAGTCGTCGAAGATCTATAATATACACGCTGGAACAATCAGCGACACAGCCTTCACACTGTCGGGCAATAACGGCGAACATTTATGGCAGAGTGGCAATTCGTTAACCCTTGGTGACAGCAACTAATGCTTTCAAGCAACGTCAATAGTGCAGAGATCACAAAGGCTGGTTCCCACCGCTGTGGCAACAGGTAATATGGTCAGATGAATCGTCATTCACGCTATTTCAGACGACCGGACGCGTTTATGTCTGAAGAACACCCAAAGAAG